TACTTTATATTATTGTTCTATGTTATTGTAATTCTGTTTCTGAAATCGATAATTTAGATTAACAAATTCGGTGTTGGTCTATATTAGTTCACTAGTGATCATATTTTCCTACAAAATCAAAAAGGCAAATGGTCTTTTTGTAATAGCTTGGGTAACGGAGAGTGTAGTAGCGTGGCTGTTGAGGGAAGAGATATGGCGGAGATTGGAGAGGTGGCATCGGAGTTGTGATCCGAGTGATTGTGCCAGCATATTTTTGGGTTGGGTTGGATGGTGTGGATAATTGGGGTTTTTTTATTTAATTATTTTATTTTAGTTCTTTTTATATGGAAAAAAATGTAAAATTACCTTTTACCCTTTAAAATTTAATCAACATTGGTCAGACCTTTCATATTTGGTCAACTAATAGAGAAAGAAATGATTTCTGTCAATTTGGATTGAAACTGCGATTTTTTTAAAGGTTTGATACATCGATGGCACAAATGAAATGTTTGGGCAAAGTTTGCTTAAATGCGAAATGTTTGGTACCGTGACTGCAATTTTCCCTATTGAGGATGGTAACGAGGAACTTTTGAAATTCTCTATAATAGAGAAGCTATTAGAAACATGTGAGATGAGTATTCTTTTTTTTTCCTTTTTTACCTTGTTTCATATGTTTAGCTAGAGAAGGTTATTTGAATATCGAAAAGCTTGGTTGATAAATTGTACACGATTCTAAAATTCTTGAAGTTTGATGACTTATTCGATTGGCTACACATTTATAATTGATTTAAAAATTCAATCAAAATTAAACATTAGTTTTCAACTAAATGTTTATAATTAATACTCATTATTATTCACATAATTGATAGGATCCATTATTATTTCTCTTACTATTTATATTTAGAATAATGTTATTTAATATCGGTGATGTCAGAGTATCAATGTAAGCATCATAATGTTATGCCCGATTAAAGGCAAAGTTCTGTGATTAATTTAACTGTATCCATCATTTAATGTCACTTAGTCGCTACTTAGACCGATGGTATAACAAAAGGGTGCTAACTGCTAAATAGCCTTTCTCGTTTATTTATATAATTTTGATAAAGGGAGGTTAAGTTCTCATTTATACTCTGTATTTAAGCACATGTTTAAAAAATATTTTTTGAAAAGTGATTATTTGAAAAAAAAATTAATGTGTGGTTAAAAAGTTGAAAAAAATCATGGAGAAAGGTGAAAAATAATTTTTTTTAAAAATGTGTGGATAAAAATGAGTGTAAGAGAGAAGTGATTCTTAAATAATTAAAATCAAACAAGTCTCCAAACTATCATTTTTAGTGCAGGCCAACTAAGTGGAAACCAAATTCAGCAAATATCTACTTGGAAAACGGCAGGAAAATGTGTCAGGTGCTTTTCAAATGATGATTTTATGAACTTTATCATTGACATATACCAATAAATAAATTAATTAATTAATTAACGTGTTATATCACCGTCACTTAATATAAACTAAGTAATGTACTTAGAAGATCGGTTCTCTCCCATTACAACAATACCAAAAAATTTAATCAAATAACTTCCTCTTTTTTTTTGGTGGAGTCATTTCTACTTTGACACCGATATTATTTCCTTCCTTTTATTCATAATATCAAAGCACAAGCTCAATAACTTGAAGATTTTACTATATATAACGAGTTTCATCATACCAAATCAATATTGTTGTAGGTCGTGGCCGAAAGGTCATACAGTCGAGTTACTTCGAAACCTCTCCTTGACTGAATGAAGTCATTTTACCATGTATAGCAGATCAGAGTACCGTGGAGGGAGAATACACTCTTAGGATGCTCTTGGAAGGTGCAGATGAATTATTGAAGGTGGAATTTGTGAACAATTATAATACTCTCTTAGGACGCTCTTGGAAGGTGCAGATGAATTAGTGAAGGTGGAATTTGTGAACAATTATTTTTTAACAAAGTGACTAACAGACGTCGTAATGCAAAAAAATAAAAATAAAAAATGTATGGATTATTATTTTTTTCTTTTATATTTTTGTGGCGGCGTTATGATTGCAAAATGCTGAAAATTCTATAGTGGATAACGCATTGGTAGTCATCCATCGTGCTGAGTTGCCATTCTCATCTCAAAAGTGAAAACAACTTCCATATATATTAACAAGATTAAAGTATCTCCAATATTCTAAACCCTTCGATGATTCTTAGTCCCTGTTTGGTACACATTAAAAATTTCATTTTTATTCTTCTACTCATTTTCAACCACACATTCTTCAATAAAATAATATTTTCCATCACATCAATAACTTTTCCTTCTTTTTCAACTACAAATTCTCCATCAATCTACTATTCCAAAATACATTTTCTTCTACTCATTTTTAATCACACATTCTTCAATAAAATAATATTTTTCATCACATCAATAACTTTTCTTTCTTTTTCAACCACAAATTCTCCATCAATCTACTATTCCAGAATACATTCTTCCAAAATAATGTGAATCAAACACTTATTCTTATTTTGTTATTAAAGATGATTAACACGTATTGTTACTTGTGTGTGAGTCCTTGCATTTATGATTAAAGGAATATGTGTGCATTAAGAAACAAAAATGTGGGTCAAGCATAGGAATTGTGGGTGAAAAAGATCCTAGTGAAGTGTGTGACTTTTTATCTTCGAGTAGGGAATGGCGGGGGAAGTGTGGTACCAATCCTTGAAAATTTGACCTTGATAGTCGAAACAACAATCTTTATCCAATTAGAACGAGGAGAATTAGTAAGTGGATGCAGTCACTGAGCCTTGACCACAGTGCTTGACATGGGAGAAATGTAGGCCACGCTCTAATGACACAAATCCATCGTGCTTTGATGATTTGGAGTTTCAAACGTGTGTTTGAAAAGTATTTATAAATCCGCACAACCAGACCCGTCTACTTTAATCTTTGTTGACAAGTTGTCTCAAACCAACCAATCCAACACAATCAACACAACCCGACCGATACTTGATTGTGTTGGGTTGGGTTGGGTTTCAAACTTTACACGAATTATGTTAAGTTAAATTATAATCAAACCAATCTTGTTGGGTTGGGTTTGGATTGAAGCAAAAACTGACTCAATCCAACCCATGCACACCCTACACATAAGCCAAATATAGGCATCAACATATATATGTTACTTTCGACTATAAGATTCGCCTCTATCACACATAATTGTCTAACTTAAAATTTCGAGTAGTTGCTATTACACCTCCAATATTATGAACATACTTTGAAATTTAATTCATGTGCTCTCAAACTTTGGGTACATGGAGGAGGAGGTGGATATTGGGGGTATAGAAGGATGTATTTTCCAAGATTAATAAATTTACACTTCCCTCAACAGCATAATTATGTTCTAAACTGTTACGTTTGGGGTGAGAGGAGAGTTCGAAAATTTGAATAAAAATGAAAAAAATTGTAGTTAATGCGTGTATAAATCAAATGGATTAAATTAGTTGTACATTTCTAGTGTACATTATGTTTGACATTTTGTGATGTGTAGCGAGCTATACCATTGATTTGAATAAGTGTGGTTAAAATTAATGATCATGATTATTATGGAATCAAACAATATCAATCTTAGATTCTTAATGTTAATCACAATGTACATGTAGCATAATTGCAAATCAAATAATACTAGTAATTAGACATAAATGTGGTATTCTCGGCACTTTAATGTTTATGATATTTGTCACTTATTATTCACATTGTTAGATTATGTTGAAGTAGAAAATTGTTGAAAACTTTCTTGTTGACTTTCGATTTTTTCAATAAAATAACTTTTCACGTAAATCAAAACTTTTTCCTATTTTTTAAACACACATAAAAAAACAAAAATCAAACATTATTTATTTTTCCACAAAATGAGACTTAAAACAAACCAATTTTTTAGTTGTTCAATTTTTAATTTATATCAGCCAATTGTATTTTATTTTTGGGTGCTTTGTCACTCTTGTCTTCGTCTCGCGGATCTTTCATGCTTAACATGCTGAATTAAATTAAGAAAGCAAACGGAAATTTAAGGAAATGGAATGAATCTTAGTTGAAGAAAATGGTCTCTTTTATTATTTATTTTGACTTTAGTAGAAACAGATGTTTTATGAATATTCGAATCAAGAATATAAAAGGTTCAAAAGTATTTAATGAGAATAAATATTAATGAATGAATTTAAAATGATAAATTTTATTTGATTTTATTTTTTTCTATTTAAGTAAATTCATATAAGGTTCAAAGTATAATAAAATTTTTTAAAAAATAAATTGAACAGATATATAAAAATAATGGATGAAAATAGTGGCTTTCTTTTTAAATTTTTAAACGTCTAGATCGAATACACCTGTCGAATGAACATTTCATTGTCCGCCTGCTCTGTACAAACGCGATGATACGAGATCAAAACACATGATAATACGAGGTTAAAACAGCATTAACAGCAAACCAAGTTAACATCAAATCCAAAAAATACACACAAACAAAAATAATATAAAAAATCATACACTCAAATTACAAAAACCAATGAAGCTTCCCAGTTCATCACCACCTGATTGATACAGAGCTTTCTCATTCAAGTGTGAACTTCAGCGTCAACTTGGCAATTTCCTCCATAGAGAGACCTACTGAAGAATTGAAAGCCAAAGTCACATGTTCCAACGGCCATATGTACCTCGAGAGAAACCGGCCCACACAAATTAATCAAAACAGACACAAACCTTCAAGAGGAATGAAATGAAATGTCGAGCACGGGGTGAGAGATTCTTATAAGAATCACAGTAGAGAAATTTAAAAGAGCTTATCTACACAAATTTTTGGGATTCCACTCCATGTAACGTCTCAACCTTCCCAGTTTACTACCACAGCTTAAAGCCTCCGTATTTGTGCTGTATGTTCCATGGACAATCTTCATTTACCATAATACCTAGTTCCTAAAAAAATAATTGAGAATCGTATCGCCAGCAAGGTAAGGATTATTAGAAATTTATTGTGGTTCAAGACCTAAATCTTTGGCTTTGACCTTCAAGGATCTCAAGTAAGCAATTGCTTCATCAATAACAACAATTGCATTCTTACCCTTAACGCCAGGAATTATACCCTGCAGAATGTTCACAGTTTCGTGTATTCTCTCTTTCCTTGACCTTTTTCTACCGGATAAGGAACACAATATTTTTGATTCTTGATTAATGCCGTTGCCACAACTGGATTCTGCATCATCCTCCAACTCAGAGCATGTATGAGTTTTAGCAGATCTTGAAGAATATACAAGAGACGGTACATCATAATTTAAATCTAGCAATTTCTGCCTTTTTGTTGGCCTGACATACTTAGAACCTTTGTCACTCCTTTCCTCAACCATCTCCTGAATGCCATTATCAGTCATAGTGCTCGGTGAATGACCCGTACTTGTCTCTTCATCATCCTCAGAGAAATCACTGTCACTATCAGAGCAGAGAAGAGCATTCAGTTCTTCGGTGTCTTCATGCATCTCACTTTCCAAATCATCTTCGTAGTTATATTTGATGCATTCATCCTTGAAAAGCGGCCCCAGTGGAGATGTGAAATCCCCTTGCTCTCCCTTAGTCAAATTAAGAGTGGAGGGAGGCTTTGGCCCCCAAGAAGTCGCACATTGAACTGGAGTCTTGGCTCCAGAACTGTATAGCAAGGTAGTTTTATCGCCAGATTTATCAAAAACGAGAAATTTCTTCTGGATACATTTCTTACCCATGTCAGGACAACCTTTTCGTCCCAAATTTTCAAATGGGCCCGCAGGATTTTCCTCTGTGGGCAGAGAGTTCGATACAGGAGCAAAAGCCTGACGGAAACGAGACAGACAATAAAACCAATTAGGAGAGTCGTGCAATCCACTTGCCTTCAACTGTTGCAGCGGAAACAAAGGAAAAGTTCCAGTAGTAGAATCCTCAATAGAGTATGGATTCATATAAGCAGGCACGGTGTTCAGGGACCTCATGTTAATTGGGGAACCCAAAAAATTCCTAGTGTAAGACTGTTGATTTGGATGCTGGTGATGGAACCAGGATCCCGGGTCCTTTTCCATCAAGTACAGCAATCACCTATTAATAAGCAGGATTTACAGTCAGATGAACCAAGTGTAGAACACAACTATCAGCAAAATGGGAAAACTCAAGACATGCAGACGTACCAGTTTAACTGTAGAACTAAAAATCACAAATTACTTCTTGTATCTTTGAGGGAAATATAAACTAAAAAATCCAGCTTAACTTGAATGCAGAGGGGAAAAAAAATCAATCTACGTAACAGGTTTAAGCAAGTGGCGGAAATACTCGGCCTGAAATATACCCAACAAAAAATAATTAGAATCTCTTCAACCAAAAAATGAATAGGACTTCTTATAAGTTAGTAGGGATAAAATGACATAGCAAGTCAATATCAAAATTATAGGAATCTCATTCTACAACATCGAAGCTTGTATGCTAACCTGACAATCCTGGAGAGGTTGAAAACACGCTATAATTCTAACTATAATGGTGGCACACCCAGCAATTCCATTCTCATGCTTCAATGCCCGAAATCTTGTCTGACTAGCTGCTTGACACACCATAACTACTTCCCCCCAATCCACTCAAAAACACCAACCTATTCAGAGACTCCGTGATATATAAATTCAACAAACTGTTTACTCAAAAGTAGACCACGCTATCCCAGAAAATAGTGTCACAAAATATCGGAAAAAATTTGAGGACACTTTTCCTTCTGCAATCTTCCACCCGAAGATGATAAATAAACTGCTACACTTAATTGACAAAAAGAAATTAAAGGACCAATACTGAAAACTCGGCAAGAACTTCAGGAATAGAAGAACGACTCAACTAATCCTGCGAACATAGTGTATAGTCCCCATGGAAATGAAAGCATGCATTCTAGGTGCCATAAAGTATGCGACTCAGAGTTTTAGGGTTGTTGTCGTCTGTGAGGTGATTTTACAGAATCACGCGGCAGTACAAGTTCAAAGAGATAACTTTCTTGAACACGTCGATAGAGAGACCATACCACCACATGCTGTTCTTCACTCTGATCAATTGCGACGGATGTTGACTTCTGTTTTTACCTATTAATAAACCCTGCTGGAGTTTTGAAACAAATTAGATGCAGAACCATGGTGGAGAAGAACTGAATGAAATCGGAGAAGAAATATTGAAGTAATGACTAATTGTGCATGTCCTTTGTAAACGTTTGCCCAAATTAGAAAAGTCAAGAAGAACATCAAGATATTGCAAAAGGAGACAAGGCTATTTCATTGTCCTTCCTATTAAAGCAGAGGCCATTTTTCCTAGAGGACTGGATAAGAAAATGGTATATTTTATTTATTTTGAAATGTAATCAATAAAGGGGGATACACTAACAAAAACCCTTTGCCTTGTTTGACACTAGAGAAAAACAATAGGCATGATGCAAAAATAATTATGAGAGACATTCACCAATTTATAAATTTTTTTTTTTTCATGATGCTATAACTCTTATCACAAAATATTGAAGTGACATGCATTTTAAGGCAAGAAAATCGATTTCACCAATTCAGCCTTCCACATTCCTCCATGAAATCCTAGATCCAAATAGAGCCTTATTTTACACCACTTACCCTTATTTCAATACTATGGTTGGTGTTACCTTTGGAGAGCAAGACTTGGACCATGATTTTATTTTTTTAAGGACTCACAATCTCTCTTCCCATTTTTTTTTTGTTTGTACAAAGCAGGAGAGAAGCTGCATCCTGTTTTTGCCATAATTTCTTCACTCAAAATCCCTGATTTCTCCTCAACTTATTGGCTGCAAACTTCACCAAATTGAAGAAACTAAGAAATATCCATAATCTACCCTCATTGAGGTTCTCGAATATTCTTGGGGTAATTACCAATTTTTGGAAAAATAGATTTTGTTGATTTTTTTTTTGAAGACGTGTGACTAGAAGGTAGGAAAAAATTTGGGTTTACGTGTAAAATTATTTTATTGGAATAATGTGTGGTTAAAAATGAGTTTTTAGAGAATGGGTGTTCAAACAGAAGATTAAATTCCTTCATATTTACTATGATGCCAAATAAACTTTTTTATGTCATTTATTCAATGTTTATAACTTGCATTTTTTAAGATTTATAAAAAAGTTCTGAACAAAAGAAAAGGTTGATGAAATATGCTCGTAGGGAATGGGTTTGAATTTTGGATCCTCAATGCATGATTCCGAGCATATTTCTATTAGGGTCCGTTTGATTGCATGGGTGGAAAGAAAATGAATTTCAGGAAAAGTAATTGCCTATAAATTATTTTGCAGGGGATTGAAAATTAAGTGTGTTTAATTGGTATAATTTTCCACCATAAAAATTTTTAAATTTTGTGTTCGTTTGACTTTGTTTTACAAGGAAATTTTCCATTAAAGTGATAAATTTTTTCCACAATTGGTTATAAAATTTGATTCCATTGCTAAAAAGTAAAAAAAAAAAAATTATCAAAGTTTAGTGTTCTTTTGACTTTCGTTTGCATCAAAATTGTCTATTAAAGCGAAATTTTTTTTTACAATTGACTATGAAATTTGTTTTAAAAAAAAAAAAAAATTGGACGGCAGCCTGGAAAAGGCTTTTTTCCTCAATTCCAAAGAAATGGTGCACGTGTGGGGTGAAAGGTGGAAAACAAATCCCCAAGAAAATAAGCCTATCAAACATGACATTTCTTGGGAAATGAAATTCGAAGGAAAATAAGGGGTATCAAACGCAGCCTTAATGATTTTAATATGACCCTAATCACTTGACAAAATGTTTACAAATACAGTTAGGGTGTTGCATATGTCTTTGTGACTTGATGGCACAACAACAGAATTCTTATAGCACTTTGTCCATTTTCTGCAAGGGGCGCACAGTGCTATTTCACAAATTCTGACACCACTGTGCTATTTTTACCAATTTTTGCCAATTTAATTGCAGGTGTTCATAGATCTTTATTTACCTAGTTACCTCATATCTAGCTACCATGGTTGCATGCCTACACAAGAGGTCATATTCCTTTTAACATTAGATGTCTCAAGTTTCATTCCTTTAATTGGGAATAAATTAAATCCGTAAAATTTAAAATCTTCATTTCTTACTTCATAAACCTCAATTAAATTCCTAATCCTTGTGTACTCCTATTTCCTAATTCAACTCGTAAACATCATTAGGGATCTTACATGTCCTCAACAAACCAAAATGTCCATTAACCTTGGTTCTGAGGGTCAAAGCTTAAAAATCTGCACAGCGGTGTCAAAATTAGCACACAAAGCCTCCGCTAATTTATAAATCTTATAAAAGGTGAAATGACCCACAAATAATATCCACTTATCCAACGGTCATTTTTATTTATTTATAAATTCTTCCCAAACAAAGGCCAAGCGCCCCTTGAAGAAATGAGGGGAAAATGACAAATGCTTTCCATTATTGCGCCATCGAGTCACAATTCCAACCTTCAAATCATGTTAATAGACATTTTCTTCATGGTATTAGAATTTTTTACCATCATATCAGCCAACCAAAATCAAATTCCACATAATAATTCATTATCAAATCACGTTTGATCTCCATATTACAATACATAATGATATTGTCCCTCCAAATTGACGGATCTATATAAATGCTACTTGTCAATATGTATAAAACACGTGTGGATCGTATATACAAAAACCTCATAAAACATTATCATCCTCATCGTATCTATCTATCATTATAATGTAGCATATTCAACACCAGCAGGTCTACTGGATTATTTCATTTTGGCTTTTATGCCATAAAATATATGTCAACACACCAATGATTACAACACTACCATAATCTAAATATTTCACTCCGGTACAAAATGCTTTTATATAATTTAAAACACGCCACAAATGCATAAATACTTCTGGTAAATGAGATTCAGATGTAGCAAACTCTTTCCATCTCGGTGTAATAGCACATTTGTAAAAACTCTTTAATTAGAACATATGGCAGCGAATAATCGATGGCGTGCAACATAAAATGTGAAGGCATTCCATATTTTCTACTAAAACAACACTATCCTTGAAATCGGAAAATTCTTTCCGAAATGAACCAATTAAAACCAGATCTGATAGCAAGCATCATCAGTTCAAAACCATAAAACATGAAGCCCAAAAAACAGAAGCAAATCATCAACAAAGCACTGAATAGTAGCATAGTACATCTGTAAACCCATTGAAATAACGACAAGAATGGAAAATAACTTACAATGAATGAAAGGCAAAAATCCAGCTCCCAAAATAGGTTATCACAAGCGAGAATCAGAACAACAACAGAGAAGATTTTTAGAAAGAGAAAGTAGAGAGAAGGATGAGGAGTGCACGGCGGGTGAGAAACTAGAACACTCCTATATAGACACTTGACGTAAAATTTCCCTATTGATTCAGCGTTGGTGTTTCAAACGTGTGAACAATCATAACCCACACTGTGTGCGTGCGGGGTGGACCCCAGAGTGGTTGCGCTGTGATTTCTGAAATTGATTATTTTGCACAAATTATTTGAGCTAATTGTAAATAATAATTAATTACATGATTAGTTCATTTTAAAATATTTATTATACTTTGTTTAGTATTAATTGAAATATTTGATTCGTAATAATAACGTCTTGACTTATCATTTCATTAATAAAGTTTTAATTTTAATGATTATAGACTATAGATTTTTAGTTGCATCTAGGCTCTATTTGAGCCCTTTTCTGTAAATAGATGGTAAAATATAAGAAAAAATTCAAATTTGCGTGTAAAATTATTTTATCCAGAGAATATGTAATTAAAAATGAGTTTGAGAAAAAATATTTTTTTAGTGAACGAGACTTAACGGAGTCATAGTCATAATATATGAAGTCATATATCGATTGATTTTACTTTATGGTTTCCTTCATATTTGTTGTCATTTTTACTTGTATTTAGTACGAAAAACCGATAGTCACTCG